TTTCCCTGCCTGCTCTTTCTTTCCGTCTCATTCCTTTTCCTCCCTTCTCTATCCCACTCTCCCTCACTTTCTCTCTTTCCCATTATTCTTTATTGCTCCTTCTCTTGATCTAATTTCAACCATCCCCAACTAATGAGCAGAATGGAAATGAAGCAGATTATTTCTTTGAACATTTTTAAGGGCATATTTTGCATTATTTTTGTAAGCATGTGGAAAACAATGCTCAGTAGGAAGAGTATCATTACCTGTCATGTGAAACAGTAGTCTGTGTGTAAAGCAGTAGTGTCCCTCTTTCCTGCATAGAGGTGTTGATATAAATTGGTGGAAAAAGCTGCATTGCCTCTGTCATTTAAAGGAGATAGAGACCTTTACAGTTTAATGATGTAATTAAGATAGTTTACTGCAATTTCTGTTCTGGTAACAGTGACATTTTCTGTCAAGTCCTTTAAATAAATTGTTCTCTTTACAAGAAAGAACACTTCACAGCCAATAATTTGGGGAAATTGCTATTTTAAAAGCTCACTTTTTCATTGCCGCCCTTAAAGTTCAGTTTATCTCTAATGCTGAACTTCACACGTAATATTTTTGGGTGCTGGTTACATTTATCTAGGAGTTAAAATTGTTAGGTTTGAATTCCTCCATTTTAACCTGTGCTGATGTGTAGGAAAGTCTGTGCTGAATATCTGTTCTCTTTTTGTCTGCCATGTGTCTGTTATGGCTGAACTCAGCTTTTTATATGGGTTTTTAAACAAATTCAGGATGTGAAATGTAAGATAGTGCAGAAGAGCAATACAAGTACCTACTCCCTCGCCACAGATCTCTCAGTGGGGGAGAGTTGCCTGGAAAAGTTGCTCAGAGATGATCATGGAAAAAAGCCTTTGCAGCACTGCCATTCAAACACTTGTGTTTTCCAGTCTTAGAGGAAATAACACTTCTCTAACACTTTCCCTTAATATGGATTTTATCAGCCCAATCAGCATATAAGCATCAAAGATTATCAATTACTGATGTGAGCTTTTATTTATAAATTAACTTGCATGCATCCATAAACCTGGAAAAGCAATTGTTCCAGGAAAAATTTTGCTTAAATACTTTGCTGGAGAGACATTTAGGTAATGGAATGTGATGAGAAATTTTACTGGTTCAGAACTCTGAAAGTGCTGCAGAACAAACACATTTAAAATGAATTGGACCTAAAATGGATCTCTGTTAATCCATTTCCCTATCTGATTTTGATGTTCATCTCTCAGCTTTCCTGCATGTAATTTGTTTTCTTTCAGAGCACCATTCACAGGGAGATCTGCTTACTGGTTTTGTATCTTTTCTTGGCCCAGTTTGATACATAAAAGTAGCTCAGTTTTTTTGTTAATGCTGTGTTTTGACAACATTTCAGTAGCTCAAGAAAATAGAAAAGGCTTTTAAGGTAACTGTTAAAAATTGCATTTACAGGCTCTGAAAGTGCTTCTCCAATCCAATCTGCTCTTGGATCCCGATCACAGACACCTTCTCCTGCCACTCTTCATGCAGATCATATTGAGCAGAAGGATCTGCAGCTGGATGAGAAGCTCCACCATTCTGTTTTACAGACGCCAGATGACCTAGGCAATATCTGGAATAGAAAATACAAACCTGTTCTTTCTTTCTTTCAAATCCAGTATAGTGAAGTAGCTAGTGTCACATGAGTTGTTAACAGTCGTGTATGAGGCTATTCTATCTGCACTTTAAAAAACATTTCGTTACATGATTTCCTTTAAAAGCAGACAAAAACCTTTTACAAAAATGCATTTTATCTTGCATTTCATCCGATTTATTAGCAGTGGATTGATAGTCCACACATTTATAATAGTTATTTTGTTGCTTAGAATTATGGCAGCTTAATCTATTATGTGGCCCTGCCATGGACTGTTTTATCATTGATGTACAAATAAGATATAATTTAAAAGTAATGTTATAATTTCTTCTTGGGAGTTTGGTTCTTTTCCCTTTCATATTTAAACAAATTTGTTTATTAGATATTAACTATTAGATATTAACTAAGATATTAACTATCTTAATGTTCACTTTGTAAATACAATGTGCACATCTCTCCCATATTTGGTCTTATGGAAACAGAAGAGTGTCTGATATATATTCCAGACCCTTTTTCTTTAAGTAGTCTACTGATGTACAGAAATATCATCATTTTGATTTGTACTTTGAAATCCACAGCCTAGGAACCATTACTGTCTCTACCACAGTGGTCCAGATGTTCAAAAGAGGCTATGTGATTAGGCTGAATTCAGTTTTAATTTTGATTTGGTATGCCTGTGGGAGCTAGAAGATTTTCAGAAGATCTCAGTGAATTCAGGTGCTGAGGTGTTTTGAAAATCTGTCTGAGGGGGCAGAAAGAGGATTCTGAGTGCCTGCTGCTTTAAAACTGACTTGTGGCTGTTTAGCTACTTCAGTGTGACCTGAGTGGACTTGAGCCACCATAATCTCTTAAAGGTTTCTTTGTATGGACAATGTAGATTAATCATCTTACACCTAAAAAAGAATGTTTGTTTGTATAACACTGACGTGTGGAGAGTGCTAGGTGAGTGTTAGACTCTGGTGCTAGGCTACTCAATGTTGCCTCTCCACTCATGGAAATTTACTGCTTAAGGGCCAGTAGCTAGAGACAAGTTTACTCTCACCTCTCTCTTCATTTTGCAATAAAATACATTCCTAGTAGATTCTAAGGAAAATAGTCTTTCTATTTTATTGGGAAAAATGGGAAATGCAATTTTACCTGAAAGCAGGCAAGTGGAGTTCTGGAGGTTCATTGACTCCAAAGAGTGTATGAGTGCACTTAAAGGAGGAGTGGCTTTACTGGGTCCGTCCAATCTGTATTAGGACTCCAGTAGTGACCTTAAATGTAATTTATGGAAAGAATATAAGAAACAGGACAATTCCTTCCTCTACAGAGTTTATAACAGACATAGAGTTTAGCATATACAGAGTTGAGGTGGCTGAGTGAGTAAAAAATATCTTACTCTGAAAGCCTGATCTTTTTCCTTTTGGTTTTGGTTTTATGTATGTAATAGTTATATTAGAACTTTTCCTTTTCTGGAGAGGTAGATCTCACTATACTTTCTTTCTTCTGTTACAGAAACTAGTGAATTCCCCTCAGAATGTTGCAGTGTGATGGCTGGGGGAACACTTACAGGATGGCATGCAGATGTTGCTACTGTGATGTGGAGGAGAATGCTAGGAATTTTGGGAGATGTCAACAGCATCATGGATCCAGAGATTCATGCCCAGGTTTTTGATTACCTGTGTGAACTGTGGCAGAACCTGGCCAAGGTAAAAGAAACCTTTTCTCCAACCTAACCTGACCTGTTAGGGCAGGATTTTCAGAAGGAAAAACCCACCACCATATGTATTTCCCTTTAATAATTCTCTTCTGGTTATGTTTTTAATAATTGCAGATTAGAGACAATCTTGGTATTTCAACAGATAACCTAACTTCACCATCTCCCCCAGTTTTAATTCCACCACTGAGAATTCTAACACCATGGCTCTTCAAGGTAAATTTGAGCACTAAACTGCGAAACAGGAATAAAAGTTAATTTAGGTGTAGAAGAGTGTTTAATGTATTTTTTTATTTATGAATAATAGGCGACAATGCTGACTGATAAATACAAACAAGGAAAGCTACATGCTTATAAACTTATTTGTAAGACAATGAAACGAAGACAAGATGTGTCTCCAAACAGGGATTTTTTAACACATTTCTACAATATAATGCACTGTGGACTACTTCATGTTGATCAAGTAAGTTTAATTATGAAATTCAGGGTAATAAGAATATTAATAACTGAAAATAAAATTGTTTTCTCAAAAATAATCAGCTGAGTAATTTAACTTTGTCTTTGAACATAGTTATGTACCTGATAGTTTTTCTAAAGAGAAAATTTTGATAAATGGTCTTTGTTCTTGGGTGTAATCAGAAATGCTTTCTTTGTAGTCCATTTCAAGCAAACATGAGGGCAGAAGAGGTACTCTCTCATGTTTCATAGATTGTATGTTGCAGATTGTATGCAAGAAAGAGATGGAATTAGCTCTCTCTAAAGTCTGCTGTTCTTACTTGCTCCTTGATGCTACAGCTTAGCTAGTAAATTGTGCTCACTTCATTGGAGGATTTTGGTTCTGCAGCAAGTATAGGTACCATCAAATTGAGATATACTGAGTATATCTAATCAGAGGAGTAGACCTTTTTCATAAGTTTTAATATTAATAAGTCTGAAAATATCGTATGGCTTAAACTCTTTTTTTAAAGGTTTGCATCAGCAGTGTGAAAAAGTCGGGTTTGTGAACTTTTTTGAGGAGTGGTTCTAGGCATAGGGAGATCAAAGGTTTAAACAACCCTGTTTTCATTAACTGGGCAAAATTAGCCCAATATTATTCCACAGATGGCTATGGATAGGGCAGATCTCTGGTTTCTGTCCTGTAACAGCCAGTTTACACTGCTTTCCTTGCTGGATTGCAGAAACATACTGCCATTTAGTTGGATATCACTACTAGTGGAGAATTATTCAAAGGAGAAAAAGGGCGGGGTTTTTGCCTATCTGTGAACTTGGGATGGTTTTTAATAATTTAAACATTTTATACTTTTCCCAGTACTTTTGAAGAAATTGTGTCATGTACAGTAATTTTTACAAGTGCTAAGTCTACAAGAACAAAATATGCTGTGTTAAATAACTATATGGCAGAAACATTATCAAACACTTATTATAGTTTTTTCTTTATATTTTGGTTCCATATGGATATGTGTAACAGGCTAATACCTTTTTTAAGATATTACTTGTTGGAGAGGATTAAGCATGTTGTTAAGAAGGTATAATAGCTGGTTATCTTACTATATCTGTTCTGTACATATTTAAATGAATGGTTAATCTGTTAGAGAACTCTTAAAAGCTAAATGTAAGTTACATAAGAAATTAACTATTGTCCAAGGCTAAATTGATCTTTAAGGTATACCAGAGTTTACTTACCTGATACTTAAGGAATTAATTTTTTTGTGCTGCTCTTTGCTCATTAATGGTGTCTTAATGGCCTCAATGAATTTGCTTTCTCACGTTTTACTTTCTACCTTTGATAAATACCTGTCTTTTTTTGTTCATTTTTCATCTTGTTGATACTCTTCTTTTTTTCTCTTCTGCGAGGATATTGTCAATACAATCATCAAGCACTGCTCTCCTCAGTTCTTTTCACTTGGTTTGCCTGGTGCCACAATGCTTATTATGGATTTCATTGTAGCAGCAGGAAGAGTGGCTGCTTCTTCTTTCCTCAATGTAAGTATTCATCAGTTAGTTCTCATTTATGGGTGAATGGGAAGAATTTGAGAGAAAACTGAGCCTTATTTTTCCTTAACTAGGCTATTAACTTGATCCCAGAATTCAATGTAATGGTTATGAGATGCAGATCATGTACTATTTTATTCTAGAACAGTACACATGCAAGTCCTTTCCAGAAAATATGTGAAAAAACTACTGTTGAAGCAGAGAATCTCATTTTACTTCAGAGTTCTCAGAATTGTGACTGCCATTTCTGTGCTTTAAAATGTTTTAAAGTAAATGTCCATTTTGACTGTGAATTTGTTTTAAAAGTGTATTTAGACCTCCGTATCTCTGCTATGCAATGACTTTCATGATCAGGCTTGAGTACTCAAATCTGCTAGTGGTTGCACCATTTGGATGTGTTTCTGGTATTGTACCCAGGCAAGTTCAGCCTTATATATGTAATACTGATATGATTACCCAGGTGTTGTTGGCCTTACATGATTGTACTCTCTCAAAGTTCCCTAATAACATCCTCCAGTTGTCTATGAGTTCTGACTCTTTGTCCCATCATTCCCTCTTTAACTGGCTGTGAAATCCAGCCTCCCGCAAGCTGCTATCTGAAACTTCTTCAGATTCTTGCACTGTAGTCTCTCCTGTCCAGGAGTGCTTCATGCCACATTAGCTGAACCTAAGACCTGAGCCTAGTTAGCATTTCAGTCATTTGTCTGTAATTCTGGCAATTCCTCTGCTTCCTTTTGACTGTCTTGGAAAATAGGAGCATAGGATGTGCATGAGTAGCAATCCTAGGGGTTTTGGTCTATGTTTACTCAACTCTACAGAATTTGTGGGAGAAAAGAAATAGCTGTATAGAGTTGCAGCCATTGTTCTCTTTTAAGGCAGCTAGAAATGTCAGCTTCCTGCCTGCAGTAAGATTGTATATTTTCTCCCTCCCCCTTTTTGTTTTAGGCACCAAGAGTTGAAGCACAGGTTCTTCTAGGATCTCTAGTCTGTTTTCCAAATTTATATCGTGAACTACCAGCTCTTCACCCAAATATTCCTGACATTGCTGTGTCTCACTTTACAGATGTTAAGGTAGGAATTTTAAGAATATTTGGCTAGTATTTGGCTACCAAATATATGTTTAATATGGTGTTTTTCCAGAAAATACTTCTCCTTTATTGTTTTTTTTTTTTGTTTACCCTTGATATTTTACGGAAATGTTTTGACAAGAATTGGATAAATGGCTCAGCAGCAGAAATTGGGACAGTAACTTGTAGGATATTCTTGGGGTAGCATACTAACAAGCATCTGGGGCAGACAAGAAGTTTGGAGTAGTGGTAAGCAAACAATTCATCTGACCATGACCTAGAGACTTAGCTAAGCAACGTGCCTGTGTGCACTATAATAAAATTCTAATTTTTTGATGCTTCATGTGATGGAGTTATGGGTGAATATTTTCACTGCATATTTTCTTCTTCGTTTTAGGAACTCATAATTAAAACTGTGTTAAGCTCAGCAAGAGAGGAGCCATCTGGACCTGCACGGTAGGTCATATGAAAAGAACTTCTAAATGAATAGATTCTTTTCTTTATTATTCTGTTTTGAGGTGGATATATTAAAGTAAAAGTTTGTGTGTATTTTATTAATGGTTTTCTTCACCACTATCAAGACTGTGGTCCACTACATGAATTTGAAATTTTTTGTAGTAGAGATATTATCAGAACAGACTGGGCCAGTCTAGTCCAGTATCCTTTCTCTGATAGTGGCTGATAGGAAAGAGGGTAAATATGGGTAAGAGTCAAAACAAACTGTATGTTTGCCAGTCTGCTCTGGTGTTCAGATCAGGGATTTTCTTTCCTAGAGAGCCATTTCTTACTTTTATTAAGGACAAGATTGTTAACAGGGGAGGTATAGTGATTTTTTATTAGATCACATGATTTAATTTGACAAACAGAAACAATCCAAGGTACATGAGCCCTTCTTTATGGAATGGAAAAGAAGCAGAAAATACTGAACTAAGCATTAAACAACGTATGGTTGTTTTGATGCTTAAACCTAAGCATCCTCACCAAATAGGGAACTTCAGAGGGGATAGTTAACAGTTTTCTCTGCTGTTTCTTAATAGGATATTGTTCCTCCTTACCCATGCTCAGAGGCTCTCAGTTAGAGAGTCCTGCGTATGGGATTGGAAGAGGAATCTGTAACACCTGCCAAGGAAGAGCATACTTGTGTGCCTCATGTATTTGGGAAGTATGTTTATATATGCACAACTAATGTATTATCACTTAAAAATACTAGAACTGCATATCCAAAAAACTACAAACCTGGAAAGATCAGCTCATTGAGCCTTTAAACGTTTTGCTGGAAAAGCAAGAGCAGTTTTCATCAGCCAACTCACCTCTTTCTTCACTTCAGCTGGTAGTATCTCTGAACACAGGGGAAGGACAAATGTTCTGAGATCATGTTCAGTTCATGTTCTTTAACTTTCCATTTTGCTTTTGAAAAAAGTCATTTAAATCCACTTGGTTCAGAATATTCTTACTGATGCTGTGGCATTGAAGCACACTGTATTAGCATCTTCAGTTCTGACAGTGTGACTGGGAAGAGGATGGGAACATCTTGCATATCACTGTATCTTATCTAGCTCTGAGGATGTGTATATAGGAGCAGAGGCATATATGCCTACCCAGGCTTTCAGAATGCTGGGTTATGTTGCCCCCAAAATACAAAGTTGGACCACTGTGTGTAATAGCATTAAATTAAGATTGAAAAGGAATAGATTCCCAATGTCTCTTTGAGTTACCTGTGCCCCTCTTCTCCTTCTGAGAGATGGAAGGGCTTGTCTTCATTGTGGGAATAATGATTTTCACACAGCTTCTGAAGCCTTGACTACCTTATTCCTCAGTGGCAGTTTATCCACAGTCCTTTTTGATACTAACTTCTCTGATACCATCTGATTTAGAGCTGTACAGAGTTCCTAGGGGTTGCTATCAGAGGTCGTCTTTAAGATCTGCATTATGAGTTTGCCATGTTGGCTCAGTCACTAGTAGAGGCCTAACTGCAGTTTCCTGGGAGACAACTTACATTACTTGGAAATTAGGTATATAGCCTTGTATATCTATAGTAAGTTTGAGTGATGTTATTGTTACTCAAGCTATAAATCTCTATTCCTTATCAGTTCCACAGACACTTAATTTTTTGTGTTTGACCCAGCTAGGCCTCAGGGAAGTCAGTTACCTGAAATATATTCTATTCTTCGATCTCTATCTATGAAGAATAATAACTGTATTAATCAAATACCTCTCTTGCTGCCGATGGTCTGAAAAAGAAGGGATAGGTTGATGAACTTGGTGTTCATCTCCTCTGCTTGTGCTTTTAAGGCTGTGGTTCTTTAATAACAGCACTGTGGACACATAACTACACAGTTTCTAAGAGACTACTCTGAATAATAACAGAACTGCAGTTCTTAGTATAAACCTCCCAGACTCTGGATATTTTGCACATCAGTATATCATCAAATGTGGAATGGTTCTCAGTAGCATGAAGAAAACTTAAAATAGTAACACAGACTTAGAATTGTTTACTCTTCTGTATACTAAAGATATCTTTTTTGAGTCACCTTACACAAACTGTCTACATTTATTGTTAAATCCATGGTATGTACTTACTTTCTTTTTTTCAGAAAAAATTGAAACACATACTATGGAAATAGCCAAAGTGTAGGTTGCTCCCCCTCTTCTGAGGCTGGAGCATGCTTAAAACATTCATGGGAGTAGCTTGCCATAGTAGCTTGTAAATGGTCCCGAAAAATTTCTCCAAGAAGAAAGTTACAAATATCTTTGTTAGACCATTCCAATACTTACCTAATTTTTACAGTCAGGTTGGTTTTATGACCAATATATAGGAATAATCTTTTCTACTGGAAATTAAACTTTTTCGTGTCTTACTGCACATCAGAGGATTTCTTATCTTTTCCTTTCTTATAATCTCAGTATACTGTCTTTGGCATTCATTTACTCCTCCTCTATTCATCCTTGTCAATCTAAAACAATGTAAACATTTATGAATGAGTAACATTCCCATCTCTTGTCTCTGTGTCTCAGAAGCTCTAAATAAATATTAGCAAACTCTTATGTTGGAAAGCAGGAGCCACCCATCACATTTTTTACTTTGTCTTAAGAAAATATAAGCATTTTCTGCACATTGATTTCAGGTACTATTTCTAATTGAAAAAGCACATAGACATGCAGGAACTCTTGATGTCTTTGGATTTTTCAGTTGGTCAGCAGGGTGCTTCCTGTACCTTCACCAGGACAGTTGAGATTTCTTGCTCATTTTAAAATAAGTTACAGCATTATAAAGGTTTTTATGTAGTTCTTTTCAAAATATTAAAAATGTGTTTGTTAGGCTTTAGCAAGACACATAATGTATCGTAAAAATTACATATTCTTGTAGAATGTTTCTCAACAACTTGTCCTCCAACTTTGTTTTACAGATGTGTTGCCCTTTGCAGCCTTGGTATTTGGATCTGTGAGGAGCTTGTTCATGAATCACATCATCCTCAGATCAAGGAAGCATTGAATGTGATTTGTGTTTCTTTAAAGGTGAGAGACTTAAACTTTTACAGTGTATATTGCCTTCACATGTAAAGATACTTTGCCTTTTCAAACTCATGATTGTGTTTTAGCATCCTTGCTTCTCAGTCTCGTTTGCAATCCTAACAAAAGACTAAATTCAGTTTAATTAGTGGATCTCTGAACTGTCAAAGTTCTTTACCCTTCTTTAAATTTGAAGGGAATGGTGTGCTGGGATGTAAGATAGTGGCTCTTTGTCTTAATATGTATCATTAGCCACTCTAACCTCTACCCTTTGGATCATAATAGTTTGTCCATCACCCCATCTTTCACTAATAATCCTGGCAATTCAGGTTTCAGCAAAAGCACTGCAGTCTCTGTCTGACTTTGTCCAGCTGTACCCCTTTCCACATCCTAGACCCAAACTTCCAGCAGGGTTTTCTGCATCCATTTCTAACTAGATCTAGAAGCCTGTAATGGATTAGCCTTAAATAAGGGCCTTTGTTCCCAACTCCTCTGCCTCCCCTTGTCCCCTCCCAAGTAGTGCAGAGCAGATGAGAAATGGGGAATTATGGTCAGTCCACAACAGTCACTGTCTGCCACTCCTTCCTCCCTCCTTCCCCTGTCTGCAGTCCTTCAGCATAAGCCTCTTCCTGTGTGGACTGTCTGTGGACTGCCCACAGACAGCCCTCAAGAAATATCCAGTGCTGCAGTGTGGAGTACTCCAGGGCTGCAGTGTGGGTATCTCTTCCAACATGGTCTTTTCTGTAGGCTGCAGGGACATCTCTACACCTAGAGCACCTCCTCTCCCACCTCCTTCTCTGACCTTTATGTTTGCTTACTGTTTCTCATTCCCTTTTTTTTTCCCCATTCTCTGCCTCTGGCATTTTTACCCTTTCTTAAACATGTTTTTCACAAAGTTGCCACATACTTAGCAGATGAGCTCAGCTGTGTTCTTTGGTGGGTCCATTGCAGAGCTGGCTGGAACCTGCTGTTTCTCACAGCCTTTCTCACAGAGAATCTCCTGTGGCTTTTCCAGTACCAAAACCTAGCCATGTACCCCCAGTACAGAACCATACAAAGATGCTGGAGTACAAAAACGTTTGAGTCTTTCCTTCTCCAGCATTTTTATCTTCTCCCTGGGCTAGCCATGTTTGTCAAAGTCAGTCACATACCTTGCTAATTGGTATCCTGGGTTACTAGTACACTTAAAGCCTCCATGGTACATTCTCCTGCCACAGGAAAAGGAAAAGGCCATGGTAGAGAGAACATTGGAAGGAATCTCAGTTCTCGGAGCCATCTGCCATATGTGCAAGAAGTCTGTCCCAAGCCAAGTTGCTGCCTTGTACCCTTCAGCTACTGGCTGAGCAGAGCATCCAGTGTAAGAGGGGGTCAGTGAGAAGGTGACACCTGCAAAGTCCAAGCAGAAGTTTCCCAAAGCTTCTTGCTCACCTGCCCTCTTCTTGCCCCACCATCCAAATCCCATTTTCCTCATATCCTCACATCATTCTGTGCATGTTCACTTCTGAGTTCAAGAGCCATTGCATTTCAGTATTGCTTCTTAGCTCTGTCTAGATATATAGTGAGAAATGTGGAGTACTTATGCTGCAGGCATGGAAGCACTGGAGGATTTTTAATTAGCTGTGGCAGAGTGCTTTTCTGTGCTCGTTTCAGGAGCTGCATGGTTTTGTCTTTGTTTTTTCTTTATGAGTGTTTTTCTTTTCCTGCTATTTTAAATCTTTTTCATATTTATTCTTACTTTATAGCCTAATTAGAATATTAGTTAAATAATATTATTTTTAGCATTTTGAAAATTTGCATTTTTGTGAACAATATCTTCAACTTCTTAAATATTTTCCAGTTTATTTTCAGAACCTTTTTACATACTCTTTGCCTCAAAATTCAATTAATAGTCCATTCTTTCTTTATATATACATTGATAAAAATTGGAGTGCACACCTGTTGGGGAATATTATTTTCTTTTAATCAATGGGAATCTGAAAAGGATCTTAGCAGATCAGCTGATCCCATCCTGTGAAGCAGGATTTGAGTCTGTGTCTAGAATGGGTAGCTGCAAGGCTCTTAGTATTAAACTCTAAATTGCAATTTCCTGTTTTGAAAAATCACATTCATTCTTTGCAGCTTCACTAATGCTCTCTTCCAGGACTTTCCCCATGCTTTTTAATATCCCTTATATCTTGGATTTTATCAAGTTCCTGTGCAAGTATGGTGTTAGGCGAATGATGTTGTTTTTATCTTGCTTCTGCAGTTTATCAGTGTTTGAGCTATTTTTAATCCTGACATTCACTGTGATTTCTCTTCTTTTTCTTTGACGTATTTATTAAGTCAATTATTTGTATCTCGTTTATATTAAACATAAATTACTTCTTGAATGAGAAAGCAAAGATCTTTATATTTCTCCTTTGCTTTGCTTTGTGTTGGCAAAAGCATCTAGAGCATGCTGGCTTTTTTCCTGTTCTGAGCAGTGGTATACATTCACAATTGAGTTTAATAATGAAATGAAAAGTTCATAAATATGTCATGGGAGAAACAAATTAGCTCTAATTTGTTACCTAAGCAATCTCCTGGCTACCGAGTACTAGAAGATTTGAACTCCCTGAATGGATTATTTTCTTATTTTTAGGCGAAATGAATGGATAGGGAGCTATAGTCCTAGTCTAACTTACTGATAAGTTCAATTGAGCAAATAACATTGAATAGAAATGTTAGCAGCAATTATATGCCTATTTTTGGAACACAGAAGCATATTCAGAACTGCAGTCCAGCACCTTGCTTTGGATATAGCTATCTCTTCTCCGAGCAGTGTGGCAATACTACTGTGTCTGCATTAACCTCTGCTGAAGTCTGAGCACAGAAGATCCTAACCAGCCATCCAGACCCCTGCATCTCATGCTTTTATTATGCTTCTCTCAAAAATGCTGCAGATACATCACAGCATTGTGTTGTACAGGCTTAGTTGAATGAGTGCTAAACATAGCTTGTTTGCAAGTATGGACACGGTTAAACTGATTTCACATCCCGAAAGCGATGGACCCTTGTGAGGATGAACAGTATGGGATGGCTGCCCTTCTGAGAAAAACCCCAAGGGTTAGGCACCAGGCAAAGTGCCAGTTCACTGACACTTTTTAAATTTCCCCATCAAGTAATTTTTCAAAAATTATGTCCACACTTACACTACTAATATAGTGAATTCTTACACTTTAAAACATACAGCATTTTCCAGAGACAGAGAATAGTGTGTAGCATCACATAGCTGCTTCCATGCTACCTCTGAAGGCTCTTGGAAAAGAGGTCAGAACAAAACAGGTGACTTGAAAGGGGTGAATTGTTTCACTATCCAGCATGTACTCAGTGTTGCTACTTGAATTCAGGAAAATGTCATTCCAGGACCCACAGCTCTATAACTGTCTGTGCTAAAGTGTCTGATGTCCCTTGGAAATATGATATATTGAGCAGATGAAGGGTTTGATCTCTTTCAGCCAGTTCCCATATGCTTGATCAAAACATCCTACCTGGTGCTCTTCCCATGAATACGAAAATTTGAGTGCACAAGATTAGATTTGAATTTTATTCATATTCATTATTTTATGTCCTTCATCTCTTATGTGAAATTTATGTCGCCACTGACTTTTGTTCCTTTCTGCAATTAAACCCAAAACTGTCTTCAGCCACAGAACTGAGAGAGGTTAACTGATTTGCATGAACTAGCACTATGAATAATTCATTTTGGAGTCTGATGATACTCTTAAAAAAACAACTTTAAAAATGGAAAAAAGAAAATGCTTGCTAGTGTTAAGTGATAAATTTCTGATTATTCAAGGACCCTGAAAAGTCTTCATGTCTTTTTCTCAGGTTATGTTTTCTTGCATTCAGTGATCTGGATGCTCTGTATTAAGCTACTCTGGTTTATCCACCCCTTTTGTCTTCTCCAGTGACTTTGGGGTTTTCCTGCAAGCTTGTAAGGATGTTTCCAACAGTCTGGATTTGATCTCAAGTTCTGTAATCAAATTGTTATGCTTTTAGTTTTATTTAATTTTTTTGGTTGTCACTCGAGCTTGAGCATTAGAATCTATATGCTGCTTACTGTGCTCTTAGGGTGTGCCTCCACAGCATGGAGAGAGGCTGTCTCATAAGGGATTAAAAGTAATGGTGTTCTTGTCATAGGTTTTGTGAAGACTTGCAGATGTGAGATGTTTTACTGTGTTTTTAGTTAAATGCCAAGTATAACATGAAACTGCATCCACTGAGAAACAGAGAAAGTCAGAAGAATTAACTACCTGTTGTATACTCTGGTTTCCATCTCTGTCAATGACTTACAAGAACCATTCATAGTCTTTCTTTATGCTTACATAGATACCACAAATAAAAAAATGTTAATTAAAGCTTCATACTCCATGCTTTTACTTGTGCGTGTACCATTTCTTTCATTTCCAGGACTTTACATGTAAAAATTGTTAGCTCTGCTTTAATAAGAAGCTGATCCAGAACAGAGTTTTCTTCCAGTATGTTTTCCACCTTTACATTTTTGCCATTCAAAAACTTTATTGTGAAATCCTTAATTTTCTGCTCAGGCTTCATTGCTCAGGCAATGCTTAAAGCTTTATTTTTTTTAAGGCTTGTGAGATACACCCTTCCCTGAAGGATTAATAGAACTGAACTGTGTAAGAAAACAGTCTGTGAAGCCAAGAAATAAAATCTAAGTGTTTTTGCAGCATAATTGTCCTGCTCTGAGTTCAGAAGTAGGCAGCCACCTTGCAGCACATAGCTGTGACAGCTTCACTGCTGAGATTAAAATAAGCAAACTACCTTTTTAAGAATGTAGGAATTAACTCGTGAAATTACCTTTGTCCTTGTGGTTTGCTGCACAGCTTAAAGTTTTAAAGCAAGCGCAGTCAAGATAGAAACCTCAATGACGTGTCCTGTGCATTAACAATTTAGGGAAACATATCCCCATCTATTAATTTCTTTGTTTTCCCACTTAGTAGTGTAGAACAGAGTATACTTCCCCTCCCAAGGCTGGGAACTAATTGTACAAATGCATTCACTTCTGCAATGACCAGCACAGTAACTGGGGAAGGAAGGCTCCAATGCAGCAATGTTCTTCTGCCTTTAGGACATAACAGAGCAGCAGAGTTAGGCACAGCGGCCGAGGGGCGTTCATTGCTGTTCAACGAGCGCTGGACACAGCAGCCACTAGCAAACAGCAGAACAGTTAGTCATGGTCAGTACTGTAACCTGCATTTTGGGTATGTGGCTGTTTACCTGCCTTGGTTCTCAGCAATGACTTATGATTTCAGAATTAGATCCCTGAGGTTCTTTAGCAATGATTCTTTAATAATTGTTAAGGTAACAGGAAATGAATTCTTTCTTCGTGGCTTCATGATACTTTACTAACCAGTCTGAAGTTAGTTAGGAGAATCCTTTCCCCTTTCTCTCATTGTCTGTAACTCACTGGTTGTCTGTTCCAAACCTTTGGGGTTAGCTGCTAGCATTCATTTACAAATACAAAATAATTCCATTTAAATTTTGTAAAATTTGATTCTTTTCCTTCAGTCAATAGGTACTTAAGGAATTATATGTATAAAACTGTCACTGAAATTTGTGACCACCATACCACCTAATGTATTCTTATGTTAAATCATTTAGTCATCATTACTGTGCTGTGTTCTCTTTTCAAGTTTCCAAATAAAACAGTAGCCCAAGTTGCCTGCAGTATGCTGAACATGCTGATACATTATGTACATAGACTTCAACTGTACCAAGCTGATTCGCCTTTACGAATTATTCAAGTAAGTAATGTTTAAAAATTCGACATTTTCAATTCTTCTAAATGAACAATAAAATATATTTTCCTGAAATTAAAATACCAGAATATGGACAATTATATTTCACAAAATATTGAATTACTTAATAATAGCAGTAGGGATTTGCATCACACTTACTTGCTGACATGTAACATGCCTGTATCATGCCTATTTTTTTTCACAGAGGAAAAATTATATGAGAATCTTGTCAATAAAGTCCAAGGTTTTTTAATATTAAATATCTTCAAATATGTTTATCTAAGTTTAGTGAGAAAATGATTATTTAAAACATGGATCTGAAGTGTATTTTGCATAGCCATTAAAGAGTTTCAGTATAAAGCAAAAATAATGATTTTGAATACACCCCCCCGTAACAGGGAAGTAGACTATGGCCTCTGTGAGTCCGAACCACAGAGAAAAGACAGAGGTCTCCCAGGTAACTGGGAAGCGAATCATGTGGAAGCTGCATAAGAGGCATAGCAAGCATTTCTCTGCTCCTCTGCCATTGCGTTTTTCATCAAGTACAAACAGGGTGTATACAAATTCTAGTAGTTCTAAGAAATAATGGAGCTCAAATAGCCCCATACACAAACCCACATCAGACTCCTTGCTGCACCCTCCAAGTGTGTTGAAGCCAGTTCTCTTCCTGCCTGCATATTTGGGGTAGCTGTGTAATTTCATTGTCCTTAATGCACCTACATCATTCAAGCAGAACATATTCCTTCGATGTCTTCTGCAAAACTCAATTAAATGTGCTTTTATAAAAAAAATTGACAAAGAATACTGTAATTTGTCTCAAAATAACTTTAAGATAATTTAACCATGAAGATAGTATTGTGTCACATTTATCTGCTGAAAAAAATATTTTAAACTTAAATATTTAGCTTATATTTTAAAAGAAATCCGATATACATCCCCAGATTCTGATAGCAACTATTACGCATCTGCTGCCCAGTACAGAAGCTTCCTCTTATGAGCAGGACAAGAGGGTAAGTATTTTTCATTTCCTTTTAATGGGTCAATTTAATTACAAAGCGCATGACAAAACTTTGTTACAAAATTTAAGCTGTGTTTTAAATCAGAGAGTCACCTTTTTAAGTATAATACAGTATAACTTTCCTAGAGTATTGTTTATCCAAGTGAATTTCTGAAGTATTTGTGGTAAAAGATGCATTTAAAATTGAGATTGATTGTTTTCCATTATTAGAAAATTGTCTTTTTCCTTATCCTTGGTGAATTTACAAGCAAATTAATGTGGAATCTTCGAACTTGCCTTATAGTGAAAGTATTTTCCTAACTTGTAGAGAGTATATTGCAAAATATTTACAAGGTTATGGCTTTTTGCTGTTTCCATAGTATGTACATTCTTAACAAAGATAGCCTGTAATGTTCAGATGAATTTGATTATTGTCATCCTTCAATACAGCTGCAATCTGTTTGTGTTTTCGATGGGCCCGACCGCCCCAGCTAAGGTGGGATCTTTGTTCACCTGATACTCACAGCAGTACTTTCTGTCTCCTGAGAGCTCTCTCTCCTCAATTATTTGGCTTTGTGCTGGGTCCGTGGGACTCAGTGATCATTGAAATTTAGGCACTTTGGTGCAGTTTGTCACTGACAGCTCCATCGTTCTGGATTGCCATTCCCACAGGAGCTGGAGTTCACCTGTTACTCGTTTTGGTGTCCAGAGCTCTGTTTCACCTCTTGTCTCTGCTTGCAGGAAGTCAGGGGCTGTTATAGACTACAGTCATATGCCAGGCTAGCCACTTTTCCACCTGTGGATGCTTCTCATAATTGAAAAAGTTTCCACATGAGCTAATGCTGATCATTGTACATCAAATATCATATAAAAAATTGTCTTACCTATTTTGACAAATGTAGTCCTAATGGGTTTCTTAAAAATTGGTTTAATATAAAAAGACTCAGAGCCCTTCATCATTAGGTTTATTATACTGTGCTTCTGAGAGACAAACTGGTAATTCATTATGTGAAATGAATATGATGTTTATGTGTCATTTATTAGTGAATTAGTTAAGTGGATTTTCTATGAAAGACTTTTATTTAACTTGGGAAATAGTTAAGAGTCTCACACCTATTTATCTGAATTGTTTTCTCTTCCACAGCTAAGTTTTAAAAAGTAAAAATTATTATTTGAACCCAGTAAATTATGAATAGTTTGGAGTGGATGTGGGTCTTAATCTAATGCTGTTCTACAGTGTAAAAACATCCCCGAGTTGATTCTTTAGCTAACTGAGCAGCTTACAATACAGAAACTAGTCAGATTGCTTTCAGATGATACCTGGTGCTGCATAACCTTATTGATATGTTGTGTAGGATATTCTGTGTTATTTGTAAAGCACTAAATACAGATGAATTGGTTCCATTTTATATAATCCTTGATTCACTTTACAGTGAAATTTATGTGCAGAATGGTGCATCACCCTTAATTTGGATCTGCGTTACCTGTCATTTTAAAAACAGCACCCTACAAATCAATTTTGAAAATCATGGGTATCCTCTGAAGTATAGTATCTGCTAGCAGTTTTACCATTATGAGAATCTGTTGAGTGGATGGTCTTTGTTAAATACATCAGTAGCCAAAGTTTTTACTGATGCCATAAGTTTTTAAGATACAGTGGTTAAAGAAGTGTGAGATGCCATTACTGCAGAAGGTTGACTCCAGTGAATTGAGAAAAAGAAAGCAAATCAGAGAAATAAAATAAAGTAGTAAATAAGTTACAGGTGCTGGTTTAATTGATCTGTAATTGAAAGTGTTTGTTCCAGTTGGTGGTTTCTTTACTTCTGTGCCTATTGGATTGGATAATGGCCTTGCCATTGAAGACCTTGCTGCAGCCTCTTCACACTGCAGGAGCAGAAAATGATAAGACTGAAAGATCTGTTCTTAATTGTATATATAAGGTATATGTTTTCTTCGCTTGCTAAATGAGAATTTCTGTGTATGGGGGTACTGTCAGTTTTCATGAGGTCAAAAGTTTTCTGTAAGCTGACCTCTATTCTACTGCTGAAATGTGGAGTACTGGCTCAGTTCTTGCACAATTCACTGTCATAGCTTGACCTTTGGTATATTTGGGATTGTTGATTTTGTTTTACATTTTGAATGTTTAACCAAGCCTTTTTTTTGTATGTCATATTGATTGCATACACTTCTATTGTAGAAGAGTAGCTATGCATTTGAGACTAAAGATGTAACTTTTTTTATACCAAGCAATTTCGTTTAGGAATAAGCAAGCAAAGCAAAAAGCACTGAGTTGTAAGTACTGTCTTTAGGGACATAGAACAAAGATAGTTGTAGGGTTTTTCTTTTTTTGCAAGAGAAAGAGATTAAACCCTCCAGCAGCTTAGACCTATTTTATGTAATTAAAAAACATAGGAGATCTAAAAAGAAAGGCAACTTCATGATTTGTTGTTAAGTTTTGTTTCTTTATTGTTAAATTCCACTTCGGTGTAGAAACTGTTTTAATAATTTTCTTTGCAGACCAGGGTTTGTTTCTGTAAACATTAAGCATCTAAAATTTTCCAACATTTTGTCCTGCCTACCTGGTTCTAACAAACCAATTAAAAATGTAAATAAAAATTAACTTCATTTCTTACAAAACTGTCAAGTTGAAGTTTCATGAGCTAATGTAATGAAATTCTGGTTTTGTTCTAGGTGCTGCATGGATGTGTCTATGGTTCTCAGTGTTTTAGCAACCCTAAGTATTTTCCTCTAAGCCTTTCTGATTTGGCATGTATGGATTACGATCCTTTTATGCATTTAGAAAGCTTAAAGGAACCAGAACCACTGCATTCTCCAGACTCGGAGAGGTCTTCTAAACTTCAGCCAGTCACAGAAGGTTTGTCAGATTGCCTAAATACATTTTCTTTCAAAGAGATTTTTATCTTGGTTTCCATTATTGAAGTGTTGGTCTAAAGCTTAGGTTTTCAGCTGTACCTAGACACTAGGTAAGAACCATTAGTATGGAATGAGCAAACATAATTTTGAGCAGTTACTTTTCGATTAACTGAAATAAGTATGTTCTGAACTACACGAAGATCAATATAATATGGATTCTTCTTTGCTCTGTGTATCAGCAAAAAGTGTTAAGTACTGCAACATGGATAAATGTTGCTTTTTATTTTACTTTCTGTAAATTAATTTGTTTATTTCTTAATTTTGCTCCTTTTTCTAAGAATATTTTGGGGTTTTTTTCCTGTCTCTGCTTGCAATATTGAATGCTTTCTATGAATTTTTTTTAGCCTATCATAATCTGCTGTCAGTCTCTTTACACTGTTTAAAACCACAGTCGTCTAAAAAGAGAGAAATTTTCTCTCATCTGCTTAGAACATTAAGAGACCTGGGAAGTAACATTTTCTTCACAACTCAAAAATAAAAACAAAGAATCAAGAAACTAAGCTACAGAGGAGTACCATATATTATGCAGTGTATCTAGTAAATATCAAATGTCTACATTGGGAAGAAAATTGAAAAAGATGAGATTAAGATACCAGAAACTCTGTGTAGTGCTATTCTCCCTCTGTATTAAGTTGTTCCATTTAGGCTTCCTTAAGGGGATTAAGAACCAGATAAATGCAGCAGCTCTTTGTAGCAGCTGTGTGCTAACAGCAGGTGATTTTGTGGTCTGTAGTGACTACGTGCTGTTTTTTATGTAGAGAAAATGGCTAATCATTGTGCCCTTGTCTAAGGCATGCTTCATCATCCTCAAGTACTTTTTTGGCCAAAGAATTCTAAACATAGAGCTGTCCCCTAATAAGCTCAGTATTGGATTGAACAAGTCTGATTTGAGAACTATTGGCAGGAGGAGCTGTAATTATTAAATTTACTGAAGGTACTATAGTTGGCTTTTCGTCAAATGGCTGTGGTCTTATTAGTAAAAAGTAATCATCTGCTGGGTCAGAATGAAAGAGGCTTCGAAGGATTCATTCTGTCCTAATTACAGTCTCACCTATACATATTATGTAAAGCTAATATTTAAAGCATTTGCCAAAATTAACTTCCACTGCATGTTCTATTACAGTGTAGTGAATTGTAGTAGCTTTTTATGCCTGGCATCTTTTGTATTCTGTAATAATCTGTAATTATGGGTTAGCAGCAAATGCTGTGTGGCTTTTTTAATCTGACAATCTGAAAAGACAACCCTGAATAGATTTCTCTTAAAATTAATACAGTTGCACAAAGCCTTAGCATCGATATCTTCATTTTGCGTTTCCGACCGTGATCTGTTCTTTTATGATTTCTTGTTAAATTTCTAAATAAAAGTAATTTCAGATGTTCCTTTTATCTCTCCAGATAAATTAAGTTTCAGGGCTCTGGAATTGTAAATCAGACTGTGAAAGTTAATTGGCAGACTACAGCATTATAATGCAACCCGGGTCTTGCAACCTTGGCACTTCTACTCCCCATTGCCAGGCAGAGAATAAAATTGGCAGTGTTTAACTGATCACACAGCATCTGTTCTCCCTGGCATTGTTGGAAGAGTGAGAGGAGTAAAACTAGTGGATAACAACCAGTCTGAGACTCGATCAAGACAGAGGGTCAATTAGTGCAAGCTAGCAGCAGAGCAGTATGCCAATGGATCAATCTCTTTTAGCAGAGTAAAAGGGCTATCATAGTATCTTTTTTGAAGGAATGAAAATGAGTAGGGCAGCAGTTGCAGGGAAATCAGGGAAGTTCTTCAAAGACAGGGTGGGAATTGCTAGCCTCTTAGTTCACAAACAAAGCTGAAAGTACTGAAACGCCAGAATTCTTAAGACAGAGTGCTTTAATGCATGTGATTGAGTTGCCCGGTTATGCCTGCCTTTGTTCAAGGTTGGATCCGTCACAAGTGTTGTGAACACTTAACCACAGCATGTAGTATGAGACCATGAAGATATGGGACTTAGAGTGATACAGCTGTGTAATGGGGACAGGATCTATTGAGAGGCTGGAGCAAGCCATGCAAACAAAAGCAGGGCAAACATTTCTTAAATCCTCTGGGAACAGGCAATGTGAGGAATGATGATGACTATTCCCCTCTCTGTTTCAGTAACTTTCCAAGTGCTGTCTCTCATGATGAATCTCTTACATCTAGGATTATCTGTGTTAATCCTGTGTATCTGTCTTTGTTCTCCTTTCCGTAGGCTTCAGGTAAAGTGGTAGATTTCAGTATAAGCTACACAAAAAATAATTTTGAAATTAGGTATTAAGCATATTAAACTGTTATGTTTAGACCAGAATGAACTTTTAGCAGCTGAGAGTAAAAACCTCAGTAGGGAGCTTTTATTGCATCATCAGAACTTGCAGACAGCGAGTCTGTGGTGCTTTCATACATCTAAAGAATCACTGGGCTTGTCTACATGAAGGCTGATGAACTGTTCCTCTAGCTGATATTGACAACAACCTACTGTAGCTACAGTACAGCTGTGTGTGGTGGTTTGACCCTGGCTGGATGCCAGCTGCCCACTAGAGCTGCTCCATCACTCTGCTCCTCAGCTGGACACAGGAGAGAAAATACAACGAGGGGTTTGTGAGTCGAGGTAAAGGCAGGGAGAGATCACTCACTGATTATCCTCACAGGAAAAACAGATTTGACTTGGGGAAATTAATTGGGTTTATTACCAAGTGAATCGGAGTAGAATAATGAGAAATAAAAACAAATCTTCAAAACACTTTCTCCCCATCCCTCTATCCTTCCCAGACTGAACTTTACCGTCAATCTCTACCTCCTCCTCCCCCACAGTGGTGCAGGGGGATGAGGACTGTGGGAGCTATGATCAGGTCAATGCACATTGTCTCTGCCAGTCCTTCCTCAGTGGGGACAGGGCTCCTAATGCTCTCCCCATGCTCCAGCACAGGGTCCGTCACACCACAGACAATCCTCCTTGAACTTTTCCAACATGAGTCCTTCCTGTGGGCTGCAGTTCTTCATGAACTGCCCCAGCATGGGTCCCTTCCATGTGATTTGGGAACAGTCTGCTCCAGCGTGGGTCCCCCACAGGGTCACAAATCCTGCCAGCAAACCTGCTCCAGCATGGGCTCCTTGCTCCACAGGACCTGCCAGTAGCCTGTTCCAGCGAGGGCTTTCTGCAGGGTCACAGCCTCCTTTGGACACCCCCCTGCTCCAGTGTGGGGTCTTCCATGGGCTGCAGGTGGATATCTGTTCCACCATGAACCCCAAGGGCTGCAGAGGCACATCCTGCCTCACCACAGGCTGCAGTGGAATCTCTGCTCCTGTGGCTGGAACAGCTCCTCCCCCTTCTTCATCACTGACCTTGATGTCTGCAATGTTTTTTCTCTCACATACTCTCTCCTCTCTGGCTGCAATTTGTTTCTGCCCATAAACTTTCTTTTTCCTTCTAAAATGTGTTATTTCAGAGGCTTTACTACCATTGCTGATTGAATTTTCAGAGAAGTCACTGCTGTAATCCCCCTGCTATCAAACCTTGCCATGCAAAACCACTGTGCTAATTAACTCCACCTAACTAGCCAGTTCAGACATTCACAAGCTAACTCAGATTGCATAGTGCCCGGTTCTGCTTCCTTCTGATCATCTGCATTTCATTCAGGACCATAAATATATATGAGGAAGAATTAATATGGAACCTCTCCTTCAAAGCTTTGTTTTTTGTTTGTATTAAATTATGCAAACAATTAGGAAAAGATAAAATTGAGAGGGTTTTGTGACCCTTTTATTGAAAGAAAGCTGTGTACATGAAAATAATGTGGTAGTAAGCAAAAGTGCTATATATCTTCTAATGTTAATAGATAGCGAAATTAGACTATTGAATAGAGTCTGGTTGTAAGAAAATAATTTCATGGGATTTTTTTGAAATTATAGGCAAAACAGTTTTTAAACATGTTCTTCATAGATCACAAATCTGTTAGAGATAGTTGTGATTGGAAGATAGTCGTAATATTGCATAGATTCAATCATCTATCAGTTATTGATTTAATTGATTTTTCCCCTATTACTCTTATTTCTCCAAACATATTCTAAACTCTTTTGCATAGACTGATTATTTTTTCCTCTTATTTTTCAGTTTCTGAAGAAAATGTTTTCCTCACCTGATGTTTAGTCTTAGTTTTTATTTAAAAAATAGAAATATAAATTACTTTTCTTTTAAGGCTTTGCTGTTTGCCTTTTTACTGAAAGGATGCAAAAAGCACACTTTAAAAGCAATATACGTAGTGCATCTAGATTAGCACAGTTTGTGTTACTTGAGGGACATTCTAGAGTGGGTTCTCTGTAACCACATGTCTAGATACCTGAATCTTAAAATTAAGAAGCAGTGAGAGTTGCTTAAACTGATGTAAAATACAGGTAACTAAGCTAAACTGAAGATTCTTAGGCTCCATCTAAATGTAATGGAGAGAAAAAAAGAAGAGTTTTCAGAATGATTCATCCCATTGCTCCAATTTGGGCTTCTAACTGAGATGAATCAGTCTGTACAAGTGCATCGTTCTGTAGGCAGCTAAAAGGGTGAGTTAAATTCCACCCGAAGTCATTACTTTTTCTTTCTACTACATAACCTTAGTCATTTAGAAACTGTTCAGCCAAATCTGAATTAAAGAGTTAACACTTTTTAAGGAAATTCCAGAATCCTTCATTCATGTCAGAGATAAAAATTAATGGTGATGGACCTTCAGACTTTCCACAAAAGGGGTGATTTCAGAGACTGACAAAAACAGACAATATAACATGCTCCTATTAAATTACCCAGTGATCATGTACACATATAAATTACGTTGCCAAGCCAGAGGCTGTGCCATTCTAACGAGAGCAGGGATGTGTTTGCTCAGGAAGTCAGGCCAGCAAAGCAGTGGGTTAGGCTGTCTTAATGTGTAGCCATATGACTAGGTTGTAGAATTTGTGGTAAAGCTGTGTCGGCGTGCATTATTGCATATTTTTATCTGCACTTCAGAAACAAAGGGCATGGTTTACATACTAATTTTAATAATTCTAATATATTGGATGTTCAGTTGCTCCTGATTGAGGAGATGTGTTTTGTGGAATTAATATGTATTCTTTAAGGTGCAAATTTAATTTAAAATTCTCCGATTTTCAAAAAACATTACTGGGCTTGGGATTTTTTTTCCTTTTTCTTTCCTAAATGAAACCGTCTACCAAAATCTGATGTGCTGTGTGGCAGAAATTGAAGTTTTCTGTGTCAGTTTTTGATCAATAATACTGTATTCTGAGAGAAGACTCAGAAATGCTATTCTCAGTTTATAAAAGAGATAATCAGAGATATACAATTTTAATTCAAGAGCAAAGCTTTAGAGAAAGGTTGTGTTAGGACTGAGAATGGACCTTTTGAATTTAAATTCATTGTTCCACTCTTTGTACCACCATGTCCTCTTCCATACATCTCTTAGGCTCCTGAGGGAATAAATTCATGCACACAGGCACAATGCAACTATGGTCTGGTTTGAGATCTTTAGGGTTTGCCACAAAACAGTAATAGTACTAACTTAGATGCTAAAAGGTCCCTCTTATTTCTTCAGATTTCCCAGCAGAACAGGAGGCATTTAACCTACATAGTGTGGGACTTCAGGTATCTGGAAAGCTTACATGTGTTTTTGCTCCTAGGACCCAGAGAAAAGTATTACCTTACCTGTGCAGTGCCAAGTGCTAAATACTTGGCATAGATATCCTGACAAAGATGAGCATCAGGCTTTGCTTTGTCCAGGTGCTCCTCAATACTGTGCTGATAAATTTTTCTTCAAGCATCCAACTTACTCTTTGTCTTGTATAAACTTGCTTCCAGTTCCTTCTTATATTTCAGTAGATGGCACTATAACTTAATTTCCTTGTATGCCATCAATACCTGGACATTTAATTCAGCATCACTGAATATTTTTGTCTTTGTAAATTGTAAACCTGAAGAATACTACAGATTATGAAAATATAATATGTAATTTGTTTGTATTAATTTCCAAGGCCTTAATTTATTAATATAGTTGAGTAGATACTAGTTTTGGAATTGTGTAAATATTGTGTTGATTTTGCCAACTATTAACTGGATGAAATGTTTCCCTTCTCGCAGTTCAGATGTGGTGCTTCCTAAAGGTAGAGAAGAGCCAGAATCCCAAATGTCTCTTACATGCTTTACCCCAGCCTTGTAGGGGGTGAAAAAAAGCAAATATATACTAATTGTTTATTTTTGCAGATGCAGAATGCATCCATCTTCAGAAACTGAAGGTCTGTAATGACAGTCAGTACACAGTACAAATTAGCCTTTATTTTTCCAGTGAAACTATTTAAGACACCTTAGACTGCAAAACGAAATTTGTTTCTTAAATATTAGGTTTTGTTGCATATAAATACACATTATAAAGGGAGATGAGTTCATTATACCTTACTTACACATCCAAGAGCTTACATTTTCTCAGTAAATACTGAAGGAAAAAGTAGCATAATTCAGAACATTCTGGTTTGATGGATTTTTGATGAGAATAAAAGTGAAGTGTTTGCAGCTGTTTTCAATGTTTAATATTGTTTAAAATAGATGATGTAATCCTGAGGAATAATCTTGCTTTATCTTCCCCTAGTAAATCCCAAATACAGGGCATCCAGGTCAAGTTATAAGAGAGACGCTACAGAAACATGTTGATCTTGTTGATCAATATTGCCATATTGATCTTGTTCCTTCTTCTACCTGTGTTCTTCTACAGCATAATATTTTTGTGTGGGGGTCCCCTGAACCAGCTGAGGTTTGTCTGCCTGACAGAGTCACTTTGACCAGCTCTGTACTTCGTAGGCAATATAGAATGGATTTGATAAAGAATTCAATAACAATATAGTACTGGGTTAGCAGGATGTGATACAAACACTAAGAAATTCCTTTTGTGAATTTAGATGACATAAAATGCAAGGGGAAGGTATGCAGCAAGGAAGGAGGTGACAAAAACTGTATTGAAATACCAGTGCATCTCACAGGATGAATTCCACATAAGATGGACATGATTAACTTCTCTTTCCTTCTTAAAATGCAGTTGGGGCATGAGATTTACTTTTTGAAAATTTTGCTAATGTCAGGTTGTGTTCAAAACCAAGAGCCTGCTCTTGGTTTTGTACTTTTGCACTTTAAAACCATCCGGTAGTATTCTCAAGCTAACCTACAGCTATATGCTCCCCAGGGAAATTAAGATGGATTAGAGGTTTTGTGCATCTATTTCGCTTTTTATTTCTCAGTGTAATTATGTTTATAAATATAAAAATACACTGCAGTTGGAATGGGCACCTTGCAACTCAGTTATGATCTCTACGTCAAAAGCAATTTAAGATTTATTTTCATTAGATAAGAAACAGTGTATTGTAGAAGAACAATGCTGATAAAGCTATGGTAAAGGAGGTATGGTAGACTGTAAAATAATGAAAATGCTGCTTTGACTGTCTTATGATTTTTCATGCTATTTATACAAGAGACCAGTGTTCATCAAAATACATATTTTCCATTACTGAGTTGAATGTATCCTTAGCTTTCAGTGCTTATCCTCTGTTTAAAACTCATGAAGAGGGGACCAAAAGAAATGTTTAAATCTCAACGTTGTTTTCTGAACTCTTCTTAAAACCTGTGCTCTTTCTCTTGCAGTGAAAACTCACATGCAACAAGGATTAATTTCTGTAGCTGCTCGTACTGTAATAACACATCTAGTCAACCACTTAGGCCACTATCCCATGAGTGGAGGTCCTGCTATGCTAACCAGTCAAGTGTGTGAAAACAACGACAATCCATACAGTGAAAGTCCTGAGCTTTCTCCTGAACTTTTTGAGAATCCAAATCTTCAATTCTTTGTGTTAAACAATACTTCCCTGGTGTCTTGCATACAAATCCAAGCAGAAGACGATATGCCTGGTGGAGGACTGTCTGCTGGACTTGCATCTGCTAATTCAAATGTAAGAATTATAGTGCGTGATCTATCTGGCAAATACTCATGGGATTCAGCCATTTTGTATGGACCATCGTCTTTGTGTGGATCTTCACAACAAACGTCTTTTGCACTTTCATTATCTCAGCAAGATAAACCAGAAGATGCTCTTTCGTCTTTTGAGCATGTGGAGGATGTATCTGCAAGGGATGGAATGACACTCCAAGTAAAAAGGAAATTTAGAGACACTGTACCAACGTGGGATACAATTAGGGATGAAGAAGATGCCCTTGATGAGCTCCTGCAGTATTTAGGTGTTACAAGCCCTGAATGCTTACAGAGAACTGGTGTCTCACTCAACATCCCTGCTCCTCAACCAGTCTGCATCTCAGAGAAGCAGGAGAATGATGTCATCAATGCAATTCTGAAACAGCACACAGAAGAGAGAGAGTTTGTTGAAAAGCATTTCAATGATTTAAATATGAGAGCTATGGAGCAGGATGAGCCAACCTCACAAAAGCCCCAGTCAGCATTTTACTACTGCAGATTACTTCTCAGTATACTGGGAATGAATTCTTGGGATAAAAGGTAAAAAGAATTACAATTTAAAAACTTTCTTTTAAGAAATTGTGCTATTCTTACCATGTAATAATAGTTGATCATAGAGTTGGTTAAGCCAAAAATACTCCAGGCCAGCTAACAAAAGAAGAGAGAGGATGTGTAACTAAGGGCATCTTTCTTCTGAAATGGCAGCTTTCTTCTGCATTTCAACCTGTCATTTTGAGAGACAAGGAAAGGAGGAACCTGTTGCCTTTCTTGTGATTTATATTTTTCTTTAGAACAGTGTTTGAAGGCGAATTGAAGGCGTGATGTATTTTCTTTGCTTCCCATGTATGTTCCTGAAAAAATCATTACCTTTCTATGCCAGAATGAGACTCAGAAAGTGTCATATTCTCAGTTATTGTGTTGCTGGACAGTATCCTGCTGCTTTGTCTGCTCAGAGCACGCTTGCATGCAGCCTCAAAGCATTGCATCTGTGTTAGCTAATGAGAAAGATGTGCCCCTACTATTTATTTCAACATTGTCCATGCTTGGGTATTGTTTAGAACAACAGGAGAATAGCAAGTTCAGTTACAAAAGGAATGTCTGTGTTTATGTTATTATTTTTATGTGGGCGTAGTTAGCTGCATGTCTGCATATACATGTGGATATGTACCAATATTATCATCCTAGAATGTATGGGTCTTTCTGAAATCTTCTTTTCCTATTGCTGTCAAATTCCCTATTAGAGTCATTGAAGTATTTTCTTACTATGAAGGGAAATTGATATTCTGTAAAACAAAAGTAGTCTGTTTCACTGAGGTATCACTGGTATCGGACAAAATTTTGGTGTTACAACCCTTCTTACTTAATTCCTCAAGGCAGTCTGGTTCTGAACAGTACTGCTCTTAAGCTCATTCCAGTGTGTTTTGTGGGAAACATCTTAAGCACAGTTGAAAAGAAATTAAAACTGCCTTTCTTGCTCTAACATACTGTTTTGGTTTTTTCCTTTAAATTGTTACAGCTGGGTGGGTGACTACTGAGCTATGTTCTGCTCACTTCTGCAATTCAGAATAGCAAAGGATCTGTGTTTAATGCACTAACTCTCTAGAACAGTAGATTAATGGGACTGTCTTTTGTCACTAAGCATATGTGTTATGGCCTCGTAAAGTGTGCAGCTTATATATGCATTAAAGGGAGCTCTGTCTGTTCTTCTGTAGAGAAGAGATGGATCCCAGTTGGATCCAATAGGTTGACAGAAGACAGTGGAAGGAGTGAAAGGTTGTACTCAGGGCTGTAATGAATATAGATTTCCTGGAGTAGGAAAAATTGTGCGCATACTTTTTTGAAGTTATCTTAATTTTTAAATGTTAAGAAAGTACTGTTGACAATGCAAAATCGTTTGTTTACTATTCTTGAATGGACCTGGAAATGTTCTTGTACCATTCTTGTACTGTTCTGATTCCATCAGTTAACAGGTGATAATAGAATTACAAATTTCTCTATTTAGAAGGAGCTTTCATCTCCTGAAGAAAAATGAGAAGTTACTTCGAGAACTCAGAAATTTGGACTCAAGACAATGGTAAATTCTTTTAATGACTGCCTACTTACTTAAGTGTGCCTGTATTTAAATGCCTTTAATTGCATAGTTGCAAGAGTTGAGCAGAATTTTTGAATGTTTTTTTAATTATTATTGTATTTTACATTGTATTGTAGTTACTTGTGTTAAATGGAAGTTGCATTAGTATTGTCTGTAGAGTGAAACTCTGCAAGTAGGATACCATGAGATAAACAGATTTCAAAATAACTTATGATTATTTGTATTTGCATAACAAATGAATGGTTTTAAAACATTGATATATCAGAGTCTCCACATTTTAAGCTTTGGCTAATTGTGCAGCTGTTTTCTCATGCTGCTGATATTTGAAGACATGGAATTCTAGTTGGAATTGTAGCACAGAATTAAAAACTGGGTTGGTTTTGTAGAATTTGAAATAAAATGCAGTAGAAGTTTTAAAAGTGTGAGAAACCACCTACAGTTGCTGCAGTGTCTAGTAGCAAGCTGTGAACAGAAGACATTGCTATTTACTTATAGATTCTTCATTCAGTTGCATAAGCTGCACTTGCAACAGCATTCAGAAGGCTTAATGGGCAGTGCAGTGTGTGTAATGCCTGTGTTACAGGTTTTGCTCGTTTCAAAAGCCCAGCCATTCCATTAGCAATTGGTACAGCTTGTGCATCCTGCATCTTAGGAGTCATGAAAGGGATAAGTGCTGCTCACACACAGCAAAACTTTAGGCTCTAGAGAAGACAGGAGTAGAAAAGACAGAATGGGAATATGCAAATGTAGAGGGAATACAAAAAGAAGCCATATAGTTGTACTTGGATTCCACTATGTATTTTTAATATTTTTAAAGCCATGCTCTGTCTGCACTGTTTGCATATTTTGGTTTCATATTAGTAAAGTCACTGTCATTCAATGACTATTCTCTGTTTTACAGCCGAGAGACACACAAGATTGCAGTGTTTTATGTTGCTGAGGGACAGGAAGATAAACACTCCATTCTTACAAATACTGGGGGAAGTCAAGCCTATGAGGATTTTGTAGCTGGTCTTGGCTGGGAGGTATTTATTAAAATGTTTTTATCCTAGGCTTGTTTATAGAGAAAATTACAGATCCCTTTATATAGCTCTTTAGCCCTTCAGCATTTTTCACAACTACTGAAATACATTGGTTTGCAAATGGGATGTAGAAAAAAATGCCAGTTTTGATTTCATTAGCAATATTAGTTATTTGAATTTAAGGTCTTACAATTTAAGAAAGTTTGTGCAGGCAGAAATAATTCTTTAATGTGCAGTCCTGTACTTGGCTTTGTTGGACTGATTAGAAGGCATCTTGATTTACCTGTAAACTTGTAAAGTGTTAATTCCATTGCAGTTTGAGCTTTGCTCAGATTTGAGACTCCAAAAAGTCCAAACAAGCAGCTTCTCACACGCTCCCTTCCTCCTGCCTTCCACTGCAGGCGTGTGTCAGTTCACGCTCCACTCTAACAGTTAGAAATACAGTGATGTACCCCCTCATCTATGTGGGCCTGCAACTCTTTAGTCACTTGTTTGATACTGTTACAAGGATTCCCTTTTTTGCATCCCTTCTTTCAGACCACACAGGATTAATTTCCACTGTAAAGTTCAATTTGACACTGTTGCACAGAAGTACAGCAGTGACTCTAGCTCCTGGCTGGCTGCATAAGAACCTGCAGGTTTTTTGTTCCTCTTGGAACTTGTGCTCATCAGGAATGTCCATATGAGTGTCTGTCTTACTTATTTTTTGGGTATACCTTAGGTATATAAGAGCACTACCAGATTAGCTGTGTGACAATGACTGAGTTTTCCACAGGAACAGCAGAAAACTGCTAAAAGTCTGCTGGTTTTCATGAATGTAGGTGTTTATTTCCCACATTCAGGAGCCAGCAAAAACACATTAGTACCTTCAAATATCCTTCTTTAGTGGTTTAATTCTCTTAGGCATTATTAGCTAATTTAAAGAGTTGCTAATTTGGATTAATATTCCTTAATGAGCTAGCTAATATTTTAAGGCCTTTACATTAAATTTTGGATCCTTTATTAACAGAAAAACAAATACATCCCATGTAAGCAGAGATTAAATGTATTCACATCTGAGATATAATTTTCTTTAGTCACTGTTTTGCTCATTAAGTCACAGTCACTGCTCATTAAGCATGGTCATTTCAGTGACAAACTATTTCCCATAGAACCAAGGCTTACAAACTTATTTATGAATTATCAGTTAGTTTCCTGTGATTTTTTTCATATTCACAGAATGAAAATTTCTCAAAATATGTATGAAAGGTAACAAGACAATTTAAAATTGCCTAGCTCTCACATGGGGTATCTTCAGAGCTCAGGTCAAGGTTGACGGAGTAGAATCTTTAAAACTTGAAAAAGCACATGTAAGTGACTACACAAGTGATCAGGGAGTAATGCAGTAAATATTTATTTACACAGCCTTTCATTTTGTCTAACCTCATCTTCCAAGCAGCTTCTGTGCTGAATGTAGAATATAGAATGCTACTGCACTGCAGGTGATTTCTTGTCTAGTCAGCAAGTCTGAGCTCTTTTAGAAAAAATAACTGTACTGTTGTGAAAATTATCTTCAGCTTTAAAGTTCAGTTGAAAATGTATTTTAAAGTATAAAGACTGTATTTATCACCTGATAATTTTTTTCTTGTAAAGTTTCCTGGGCTTTCTTTCTAGGTAAATCTCACAAACCATTGTGGCTTTATGGGAGGACTGCAAAAAAACAAAAGCACTGGATTGACCACTCCGTATTTTGCTACCTCAACAGTAGAAGTAATGTTCCATGTGTCAACAAGAATGCCTTCTGATTCAGATGATTCTTTAACAAAAAAGGTAGGTATCTCTGAATAACAGTTTCCTTTGGTAATAAACCCAGAGAAATTAGAGTAAAAGAATATCCAGTAGCTTTTGGGGTTTTTAAAAAAAAAAATAAATGAACAAAACCAAAAAACCCACACACACATAAAATAACATCCTTAGCTGCTAAGAGTTGGTATTTTGCTGAGGTAGGTTAAGCAATATAAATTATTCTCTACCAGTTTCTAACTTTACCATACTGGTGATTTTTGCCATCATTGCAGCTGTTGGCAGGAACACGTGTAGTGGGGAAAAGTGCAGGTAGGTAATGGTTTGTGTAGAAGAAAAAGCATTACATCTGAATGATGTCTTAGTACCTTGAGACCTTAAATGCCAGTTAATAAATATGTGATGAGTACTTTCTAAGATGACTGTTTATTCACTTAAGTGTCATGTGCTGGCTATTAACATAATTTTCCCTTTTAAAAAAATTAAAAATATGAAGACAATGTTTATTGTATATAAGGGGTTTTGTCTTGGAGCAAGCACAGATGCTCAACACTGATATGATTTTTTTATAAGTGCCTTAAGAAAACAATGGTTTGCTGTATTGGTATTTTTTTCTTTAGAATTTAATAAATTCCACATTAGTGATAATAAGTTACGGTGTCGAACATGTGTCCTATTATAAATGAACAATTAGCTATCATTAGACTGTCCCCCCGTCCTGCATACATACATCTTCAGATGTGCTAATCCATTCAGTAGACACGTTAATGAGCGCCGGCTGAAGTGTAATATTGGAGGAACTGAAGCTGGTTGACCTCAGCATGGAGTTTAATACTTGTAATTAAATTAGACAGTAGACAGTTAGTAAAGAGAGAAATAGCCATGCCTCTGGCAAGTTTCAATTATTAATGACTTTTTTGTTCTTTGTTTTGAACTTGAATTAAAAAATATTCTTGTTCTTATTATAGACTATGTGCTATAACTTCTCACTGTTGCATCTTAGGTTGGTTTGGTTGGTGTGGGGTTTTTTAACTAATAATGTTTTTGCATGTCTGCCTATGATGCTGCATCCTTTCTGTTCCTTATTTCCTGAAGTAGGGCCAGGGTAATACTTAGGTGGTTAAATGGTTTATAAAAGTGGTTTAATAGCAAAAGTAACTTATTTTAAAATAAGATTCTTGCTACTGTTTTAGTATAGAACAACCTGTAGGGTTTTTTCTACGCTGTCTTCTTTATTTTTTAAACAGAAACTTGTTTTTTTAAAACACAGCTTGTAATTATCTTTGCAATGTTTGTTTATAATCTCTTTGAATTAGAACACTACAAAGTGTTGACAAGGAGGACTATGGGTCACAGTGAAAATGAATGAATAATGAGTAATTTGAAAATGCTGTGGACTTCAGCAGAACACACAAGCAAGATCTCATGTCTGTTTCCAGGAGCATGTCATGAATAAGTGTTTTAGGTCTCTCAAAAAATTATCTGCAAAGGCATTGGCAAAAGCAGGTGTAATATTAAAGTTAAAGCATGACAAAGTTTGTTGGCAGGGTTCACTCTACTACTTAGTAGATGGTTAAAGCAGACAGAGAAAAGTCAGACTAAAATCTAAAAATCAATCAGTCTAAAACTAAAATCAACCAAATATGATCTACGTGGAGGCTAAGGATGAAGAAGGGTAAGGATGCGAAAGGGTAAGAATGAAAATGAGTAAGGAAGATACTCCCTGAGTCATAAGGTTCAGCATGACCCCCCTTGCCAAACTTAGCCCCAGACTTGAACAATGGTTTAGGCCTAAAGGTTTTTAACAGCACTTAAACTTAACAACACTTGATCAATAGCCTAATTCAAGCTGTTTAACAAAAGATTCTATAGAACAGTATACAGCACAACAGTAACTCACTTGGGCCTGAGTTACTTAAGAATGTAAGTACATTTGCTACACATACTCGCACACACACAGACCTAAAGGAGTATGTGCAAGATGTACCCGTGAAAAATTCCTGTCAAGATCAGTGAAGATGCCTTTGCATCTTCTCAACAGGTGAAGGGTTGATCCTCGAGGAGTAGGGGTATCAGCCCAGGCTCTGTCATTGGTATTCAGTGCCAGTCCTCCAAGTAAAGCAATTTAAGAGTTTGCTAGCTCTGAGAGGTGTCCCACTCAGAGGGAGATTGCTGGCCACAGCCTGCTGCAGGCCAGGAGGGTTCGAAGGGTCCCACTTAGGACCACTGTTTATAGAGTCACAAGAGAGTTGACTTTAGTCACAGTAATTTTCCATCCTGGCTGCAATTCTGGTCGGTAACTTTCTTTCAAAGTTTGATAACAAAAATGTCCTTCCACTTGGGTTGTTATTCAGGCAAGATAAATACATTTCCAAGGCTGTTTGTTAAAAAACAGGAGCTTGTTAGCCAGCATGGGTTCTTTGGACCAGACAGTGTTTCTGATAAGCTCAAGAGGAGCTTAGCCCAGGTGCTGTTTGTCAAGGCCAAGGCCTAACGAGCATTTCTGAGATCATAGTGCAGCCTAATGAGCAGGGAGGGAGGGGTGCACCACCACAGACCACCCTGAATCTACATATAGATATTGCTGCCAGGGAAGGTTCAGTGCTGGTCCAGGCCTCCTGTGACTCAGTTTGTGAAAACTGTGTCATAACAAGTCCAGTTTGCCCCAGGCCTTTTTCTCTCCTCCTTTCTCCACAATCTCACTCATCAGTAATTTGGAATATTTGAGGTCTGTATGGGTATGTAGAGTGTATCAAAAGATTGGGATTATATTTATGGCTCAGCTACTGATAGACTCAGTTAGTTAAGCTGCATTATTCCTCTGTGACTTGCCTGTTCTTGATTGGTGTGTCAGTTTTGTTCTTTTTAAGCACTTTTTCCCAAGAGCAGATGCTTGTGAGCCTCTATGTCTCTCCTCCCTTCCCTAACACCTTTTGGCGCATTCCGATTGAATTTAGTAGAGACATCTTTCAGAGGTGTTCGTTTTCTGTATGTTTAACGATGATAGGTTAAGTAAAAGAGATGGAGTGAGAGTGACTTTTAGTGCTCCTACTCAGCAAGTAAAGACTACATGGGAAGAAGCATTAGATATCAGGGAACCAGCACCAGAGACAAACGTTATGAAAGTCATCCCAAATTTGAGAGAAGCATCAGCTGATGTTTACACCTTGGGAGAAACCAGCAAGTGGTATCAGGAGACATGAGTAGGAAGACAGTCTTAATTCATTTACTAGTTCTGCAATCACTCATGCTGATTGGACCGAACACATCAGCAAAAGGAATGTTTTATGAAATGCTGTTTACCTCATGCACACTATCAAAATTATTTGGGACCTGTGTGAAGGCTAACAATTGTAACCATTCTGAGTGCATGTACTGTTTGTGGCCCCCAGAAGAACTTGAGATTTGAGCTGCTCTACATGTCTTTCCTGTGAGTTTTTGTCTGTTTTATTCAGTGGGAGAAAAACAAGCAAAATTGCAGTAGTTGGCTTAGAAGTGCTGCTGGGTTTTATATTGTAAATGTGCCTAGAGGTACACGATAGGTTGATCTTATAAATGGAAATTAAATTGAATTAAAACAAAACTTCTTCCTGCCAATTGAGCCACTGCAAAATCAAGATTCTGCTCTTTCAGGGGCTTAGTCATTTTTAAACTTATTTTCCATCAGTCTTAGAGAGTAGTAAATAAAACTTTTAAGTGTCTTGATACCTCTGAAGCATTTGTTTCTGAAGACATGAAGAAGAGCAAGAAAAGACATGAATTCAAGAAGATTGGATGGAAATATTCTGAATGTGTAAAGGAACTTAACGCTAAAATGCACATATAAAATAGGTATTTAATTTGTAAATATTAACTTAAAGATTTAATGCTGCTAATGCAATCCATTCTGTTTTTCTTAGAATTCAAGATTAGAGTAAAAAGTATTTACACTACCCTTACAAGAACAAACATGCAAAGACTATCAGGACTAAACAATGTGAAGATTCAGTTCACAAAATGATGAATACTAATTTATCCTGAGCTTTTGGTTTATTGCATGATTCTAAGTTGTGTGTGACATCATCCTAACCACATAAAATGTTTACAGCTCCCAATATTTATAGCTAGGGTTGGATTTTTTTATTGTGTTTATTGTGTTTTATTGTGTTGGGAACTTGAAGGTTTATAGCTGTAAATTAATAGTACAGTATTTTTTTGGAGTTACAATTAGATACACTTGTTGCTTAAAAAGATGCACCCAAGAAACCAAACACACCACAGTTGTTGAGACAAAGCTTTGTGAAAAATTGATCGTGAGGGTACATACAGTATAAACAGTAGTGCCACCCATGTTTAATGGGCAAAAGTAGCTGCATTAAGCCATTACTTCAGATATCTCTGCTCCTTCTGTTCTTTTTATAATAAACACTTTGATTTTTGAAGAAGAAAAAATTCAAGGCTAGCCGTTGTATCATAAGAAAAATGTAATAGCCTTTTTTTCTCCCTCCTTTAGGTAAGTGGGTATTAGAAATTACAGTAATTTTGGCAAGAGTTCAAGGGTTAATGCAGCAGATAAATAAAAGGAATTTTCTGTAAATTGAGCCCTGCATTATTTCAGTTGTCTTGCCTTTCTAAACCTAACTCATTTAATTTTAAAAAGTAAATACTTAAATTCTTTCTGACAGTGTGCTTTGCTTTTACTATCGTTTATTACTTCAATTATACTTGGTATCACTTAGAACAATCTGCCATTTGGAAATTTCAGTATAGCCTGCAGCTTAGTATTAAGTCTGGCTGCTATTGTAACATGTACAGCATATGACACTAATGTATCAAAATTAGATTTGATCATCCCTCCTGGTTATATTTATTTCACGTTTCTTTTGTATTCAGTTAACATAAATGTATTAGGAGAGCTGACACATGATGATGGCTATAGAGTAAGAATATTTTAAAGTACTTTGAGTTAAATTTGAAATTTCAGGTAACCTAACAGTTGGTCATTTTTATATATTTGTTCTAATGGAGTAGAGTTTCAAAACAAGCCT